ATGATTTTGAGGGTAAAACATCTGTTGTGCTTTATTTCTACCAGGGACAATCTCATGTTTCCATGGCTACTTTGTGTAGTTTAGGTAATGGGGCTTGTCTGTAGCCCATTCTTCCATGTCAGTTGCCTGCAGGATGTAATTCTCTGAGTCAGAGACCACCCAAGCACATTACTGCTCAAACAGTCTCAGGCTGTGTTTGATTATTCCCGTCTCACCATTGTGGGTGGGATGTTTGGTGAAGAGAGCACCAGGCTCTATCTCACGCTCTAGGTTTGTCCTCGTCTTTAGGATGCTCAGAGACACAGACTTGCTTCATGCCTTCCTCTTTCTGATATACCTGATATAGATTTAAGGGCATTTAGTAGGGGCAGAATTACACCTACTAGGAATTGAAGCTGGAAAAGTCCTCTTCAATGGCAGTGACAGAGTTCTGATTTTCTAAAGATGTATATGATAAGATGGAGGATTTCACCTAGCTGTAGATTTGCTGATCTTTCTGAAATTAAATTAGTATTTAGTCATTAGTTATGATGTGAGATGGACCACTCTGAAGTCTGAGAGAACTCTTGCACATCGTTTTTAGCTATTCAAGTCTGTGGCAAATCCTGCCCTTGGTGGCAGGGTGTGACTGACACTCCAGTGTATTTCTATAGCCAGCACTATCTGACCCTGTGCCTTTCCCTAATGCTAACAGTCTGAAGCTTTCTGCTTGATTAAGTCTTTAAGCCAGCTCTGGGACATGTGTTTGGAATAACTTGAATGAGTTCTCAAAATGCTGTTAAGCAATATCTTTATGGCCTTTGCATATCAACATCTCCATTAACTTCCTCAGTTCATTGCACTCTGCTTATGAGTGAGTAAGCACTGTTTGAAAGGTAGCCACACCCTTTATGAATTCTTCTAGAGAAAATGTTACAAAACATTCTGTAGCAGAATTTCTGCTTAGACAGAATCCTTAGAGAGCTTTTAGACTTTAATATAAGTGATTCATGGCAGTTACTTAATTCTAAAATAGGAAACAACAAATCTGTGGAGAGGAGGATCACCCAAACTGGAAAATAGTTGAGAGTAGTATTCTATGGGTTTTTAAGAGTTTTAAGAAATTTAAACAGGTATTTGTTGGAATGTTTGGATATGTGCTGTAGTTTATTGAAGAGAGGGTTTTTCAAGCTGGTTACTCGTATCAGTATATAATTGCATGAATCAGCTATTGATAATTTCTGCTTTGATCTTACACATGATGGTGGACATCCTTTTAAAAACAACATTACTTCAGTCAGTAATGGAGCACTGAGTAGTCTGAACTCTGCAAGTGGTTTTGTTGTCAGTTAATTCAGTCCTAGGGCACTGAGTACTTCAGATGGGTGGGCAGTGATGTAATTTGCTTGGAACTGGGACATCTCTGGGGAAAAGGAAGCAAGGGAGCTAGGTGTAATATTTGCGCATTCTTTCAGTAACTGAAAATGTAACCCTCATTTTTAATGAACAGGGAAAGTCTGTCATTTTGGTTTTCTTGCCAAGTTGGAAGCTCCCAGCATCCCTGGTAGTGTTGCAGTTGTCAACTTTTTCTTTAAAATATTTGCACTAAGTTAGTTTCTAAAACAGAATAGATGTTAGTATAAACATCCCATTTGTAGGTGTCTGGGTTTTTTTTACTGATGAACTTGTGATTGATTGATTTGATCAAATCTAGCAACTACTGACTAATCTAGCAGAGAAATGATGGAAGAGTCAATAAAAGAATGAGTTCCTTAAGTTTGGGTTGAGTTCTTTTCAGTTTGTGCTGCTAGATTTTTTTCATAGCTGTGTTCAGCAGGGATTGATATTCATCAGTACCTGTCACTGCATTCCCTGCTCCTGTCAGCTTTCCCTCTACACAATCTCGTGTGTGCTGTGTTCAGAGCCTCTTCTCAGTGTTTAGGTAATCTCTAGGGCTGTGGCATCTCCTGATGCTTTGATCAGCACTTACACGTGTAGTAATTTATTTTAGCATTGATAAATCTTATGCTCACCAGTCAAGGGCAGAGTAAAAAGACAAAAAACCCTAGACCCCAAACTTGTAAAAACATGCTTCCAAAGCTGCTTAGCTATCAGTTGTTCAAATGAAGTCATGCTCATCTCCCTCCTCAACTCCTCAAAAACCAATCCTGCAAATAAAACCCAACCAGACACCCCCCACTCCCTACCCCTCCCCTGCCAAGGTAGCCAGAGTAGATGAATTTCTCAAAATAGCATTGCAGAACATGAGGCAAAACAAAGATAAAACGTAATGGTCTTGGCATGGTTGCTAAAATGATAAGTGTGGGGCTTTCAGAGCCTTGGCTGCTCTGTGTTGAGTGTCAGGGCTTGAAAGGTTTTTTCATTAGCTTTTATGTTTTCTATCAACAGTGAAACAATCCAGGCAGTAGATATCTGAAAGAATATTTCTGTTCGTGGATAGTTGAAGTCACTATTCATTAGTAACATGAATAAATAGTGATCTGACTGCTTTATATCTAGAATGTGCTTTGTGTTTTGTTACAGTGATTCGTTCTTAATTTCATGTTTGCTGTCTGGTATAATACATATAAAATCTCTATAAAATCCCTGTAGTGTTGGCAGTTTTCAGAGGTTTGGGTAAGAAAGACCTAATTGATGCCTTATATATTCTTTCATCCTCCCTACTGATACTTTTTTGTTGCTTGTGGTGCCTGTTCTATGCTGTTCTCTGCTCTTCAAAGAACTAATGCATAGGAAGAGCTGATTTATTCTGTGCCAGGAAACATAAGCTCTTTGAAGAATCTATTCAGTTGCACAGGTGTTCAAAATGACCACTATTTGAAAGCTCTTCTTTTTCTGATCTAATAAATTCTGTATAATATGGCAAAATATTTCATTAATATGGCATTGCTTTTCTGATTCTCATCACTTTCATTGGGCTGTAGGGCAGCAGTGCCACTTTGGTTTCAAAAGCTCCTTGCACAGATGTTGCAGAGAAAGTCAGGTAATACGTAAACAAGTAATACTGAGGGCTTTGCCGTTGTAGTTGCTGGAGTTCATCTGGGCCACAGAGCCAAAGCAGTCCCAAGGTATTAATTCATAAATAGCTCCTTTTGTGACCTGACAACAAAAGTTAATGTATGAAACCTTATCCATTTCTTACTAATATAACAGTATTGGGAGAGATGGAGAGCTGAAAACACACAGACGCACAAACACACAGACACACAGACACAGTGTTGAAACTCACCTGAACCTTCCCTGTGAGACCATTTCTCCAGCCAGATTTTTGTAGAGTCTGGCAGTGCCATATGGGGCTCTGACCCAGAGGTTGACAGACGCCTTCAGCAGAGCAGATGCTCTATTTCTGACACCCTCCTCTTTTTTTGTGACCACTACTTCAGGAAAAAAGTGGAATAAAATGAAAGGAAATAAAATAAATTCAGTAAATGCCATACTTTTTAAATAATAAGGATTCAGTGAATGGGTTTTCTTTTATTTTTGTATTTGTGGAGGAGGCCTTAGCTCAATGTCTTGCACAGTCCTCACTTTTGTGATTTGAGAGGTAATTGAAGAATCCATAATATCCCATTGGTTTGATCACAACTCTTGCTCATGACATTTTATAATGAATATATTGCTTATAAATAACATTTTGAAGTTATAAGGTTGTACAGAGATAATTACACAGCTGAAATGCATTGGCACAAGGCCAAAGGTTAAGCACTTTCCACCATCCCTCCTAAACTGAATAACTTCACTTTATGAAGTGTATCATCAGAAATTGTTTTCATTACTCTCAGAGGGCAAATTAAGGTTAATAAAAATCCATTTGAGATTACCCATATGTGTGAATATTTGTATTTTTAGAACTTTTCTTTGTCAATTACATTTCTCACTGACTGTATTTATGTGAATACAAGTACATAGGTCAAGGCTTCAGCTCATGTTTCTACAAATTCAAACTGTTTTACCTTTCTTAGACAGATTTCCTCTAAACTGGATTGTGAGACCTGCAAGGTTTTTGAAACTAAGCATAACTAAGTGCACTCATTCCACTAAGTCCTGGTTTCTCACATGCCCTGAATCCCACTATCCTGGTTTAACTTGACCCACATAGAAGCCATTTGACCCACCTGCTTCAGTCCTCAAACCCAGTATTTGTATATCCTTGTCTTTACATTTTATGTTAAATAGCATATTCTTAGTGCAGGGCAACCCAGTATTTTGTTAACTCTTCAGCAATCTGAGAAAACCTTTATTAGAGGTGAAGGGGGAGGAATGTTTTTCTATTTTCTGTGGTAAGTTATGTGTATAATCTGAAATAGCACACACACACTGGAGTCACCTCTTCCCATACTCTGCTTTTACAACATTATCCTCTCGCTACAAGTGTCCTCTTTTCACCCTGCTGCTGCATGCCCTTCCCCTCTTCCTACTTCCAAAGAAAGAGGTTGGTTGTCTTCCCACTTGATACCACAGCTGTTTCTGCCTCTTAGCATAAGAAGAAGCAATATAAGAAATAGCCTAGTGTACGTGAATATTTACCCATGTTATTTACCCATATTTAATATGTATAATCTTTCAGCCTCTGTGAGGTTCAGGGACTTTGTTTTGGTGTCTTTATCACTTGATGGACATTTTTGGTCTATGAATTTGAATTTTTAAAAAAATCTGTGTACTGTCTTAGCATGTATAAGAATAGATTTGGGCAGAGTTATCCTATTGGTAACATTTTGGTATAATTTTTAAAAGAAAGGTGTTTTTTCCAACCCAAAAAATTAAAATAAGAAATTAGTAAGTTGCTTTTGTTAATCTTAACACTGTCAGTCTATTACAATGCAGTAGTGAAGAACCAAACATTAGAAAAACAAAAGAGAAATAATGATTGGGAATGGTTGGAGGTAAAATATGTAAAGTTGCCACTTAAAAATCTATGCAACTTGCTAGGCTAGGCTTGTTTGTTTTACAATTTTTTTATTTGTTGAATGAAACAGTGTCTGAGCAACTTTTCTCTACAGGTTATTGACATGCCAGAACACAATCCTGGAGATATGGGAGGAACAATGAGACTGGGGAAGAGGAGGACTGTTTTTAAAACTGAAAATTCTGTTCTAAGTAAGTTATTTTTATGCTCTTATGACTTTGCATTTTGGAAAGGAGCTTTGTAACATAGAAAATCAAAAGTGCTATAATCTTAAGCAAACAGTTAGGTGGCAGCTTCCCTGAGATCATTCACTCTGATCCTGTTATTTACATTTAGTGAGAATTTGAGTGAAAAAAAGAAATGAGAGGCCTCTGTAACTTGCAGTGAAACTGTCACTGGGCGTCCAATGTTTTTTTAAAAACAATGAGTAAAATGTTGAGAAAACTGAGATTCTTTTCATGGCAGTTTCATTAATTATGTTTTTGGGAAGGTCAGAGTGATTTCTTCCTATTTTCTAGCCTGGCCCCGGAAGTAGCCTTGTTTTGGGAAAGCAAAATATCTGCTAGAGAAAAGCAAAATTATTAACAGGATGCTTCAGATAACAAAATAAAAGCAATCAGAATATAGAAAAAATATTTAATTTGATCACTGTGTACTTTAAAATTGAAGTAATAGTTGTCTTCTATTAATCAGCCCATTTTACAGTAGTAATATAGATGGTGCTGAAAAAGTGTAAAAAGTAGTTTCTTGTCCATTGACTAAATATTGTATTTCTTATATTGCCCTGCCCCTGGTATCAATCTGAGGTATTCTCTATTTAGCTATGTTAAACTTAAGGAATGTATCTTTCTGAGTATTTAAAAATCTACTTCAGCAGCAGACCAGAGTGTAATAACATATGCACATTTAATAAAAAACCTGCAATTTTAGAGATGCCCATACTAGTGATCTAACTAGCCTGGGTGATACTTTGCCTATGTCTGATATAGGTATTCATGTCACAATGTACAAGTTGTTGTGTGACCTAACACCTCTTGGAAAAGTTAATAAAAATTTACATGTGTTGTAAATCTTGACCAGTATTAAGCGTTGTTTAGATCTGTTTAGATCTTTGGAAAGAATAATAAAAAGCTATCGTAGTTTAATCAGGAAATCTGATTTCTTTTGCTTATGCTTTACAACTTGGATGGGAATAATAGTTTTGAAAAGGTGGTCCCTTAAAATTAAGCCATACACCATTTTTTGTAAAATGGCAGTACTACTATTCTACAATTTTTGAAGATATTCTTTGCAGTTTAATTAATGTACCAACCCCCTAGCACGACAGTAATTCTCATGACCTTAGTGTAAACTGAGAGCAAAGTTTGGGCCATGATTATAAGTAAGAGATATGATTAAAATGTCGTTTACTGCATATCTCAGACTTGCCCCTTGTTGCTGTGAAATGCGGAGTGTTCGAGATGACGCAAAGAAGACTGCCAGAGTCATTTGGGTAATGAGATCAGGAAAACAGAGAAAAGCAATATTCTCTGTTCTTTGGAGGTACTATGCCAGGTGCCATGCATAATCTATTAAAATGGAACAGATGCTCCTAAAAGGCTTCCTTCCCTGCATCTTTTGTGTGCAACTGTTGTAAAACCCTGAAGAGATTTTACATTGCTTGGTTCGCTCATTTTTTTAAGCTTTACAATTTAAATTAGTTAAAGTGTGTTTAGATTCTAGTTTGCCTAAGCTATTTCTAGTCAAGGAATGTTGAATATGAATCCTGAATAAACTCAGGGAACAGTGAATTAAAAGAAACTAGTCATCACTCAGGAAGAACAGAAAAACACAGTGAGATGAATAATGTCTTGTTGTGTTTAACAAGTGTTAAATGTGACTTCTTTGAGGTTTAAATTACAAGGAATAATTATAGCAACTATTAAAGCAACACATGGGCTTTTAATTTCTCTTTTGTTGTATATTCAGGGAAGCTTTATGGTGATGAAATGTTTGTAGAGGAGCGACACAGGCATCGATATGAGGTAAGCACTGTCCTTTGTATGGGTCCACTCCTCTGTATGCAAACATCTGGGATAAGGTGCCTGAATGCTTTCAGAATACTGACATTCAAGGAGACACACACAAGGTGGACTCCTGGAGTTTTCTCTGAGGTAGCTCCATCAGTGTCTCTAAAGGGCCTTGAACTATCAGATATGTGCATGCTGTAACTGATTCAGACAATATTAACCTTCCTTAAAACGGAGGAGAATGTGATGATGGCAAACCTGCTCACATTTGGATATTAGCTGAGTGGTTAAAACATTATCAAGGAAATGAGACCGCAGAGCTCCTCAGTTTGAAGAAAAAGCTGCATCACAGTTTTTGTCATAACCACTGAAATTCTGTGTTCAAAGGAGTGGTCAGTGGGCATCTAGTGGGACATTTACAAAGGGGGAATTCAAGCTGCTTGGATTCAGAAGAGCAGCAAGCAGAAGGGACCCTGGATTTAATATTTGAATATTGCCTAGTAACTTTTAAAATTACTGATACAGCTCTATTTAATAAACATGTCCATTTTTACAAATTTATGCCAGAGTTGTTAAAACAAGAAAGCAAAAGTTCCCAGCCCTTACCCAATTCTCTTAATTCTTGTATGCATGTAAAAATCATTACAATCAACTGCTTCTGTTTGTTAAATCCAGAAATTAACAGACCTACCACTGTTACTGCTTTCAATATTTCAGGTGAACCCAGAATTGACTCACTGCTTTGAAGAGAAAGGTTTGAAATTTGTTGGCCATGATACAGAAGGGAACAGGATGGAAATTATTGAACTGGAGAGTGAGTGTCTTACTTGTTTGTGATACTTATTGCATCTGCTAAAACTGTATGAACTATAGGTCGTTGAACAACATATAGACACAATATTCAGCTATCTTATCAGCCAAGATAATTTTGGGGCATACTGCTAATTCCACTTGTGTATTACAATGGGTGAAAATTCAGAGTAGGTTAGGAAAAGTCTTACACTTTGCAAGAACTGTGCATGTATTTGATTATGTGGGACAAATGTGCTCCTTTTCCTAAAGGTGCTAAATCTAGCTCAGGGCAATTTGGCTGTGTAGAATCATCGAGTGATTTGGGAGGTCATGTAGTCCAACCTTCTGCTTCAGCACAGGGCTGCCTTCAAATGTAGGTCAGGTTCTCCAGAGTGGTATCAGTCAAGTTTTCAGTACCTCCAAGTATGCTGTTGCTTGGACTTCAAAGCATTCACCACTTTTCTTTGAATCCAGAAGTCTGGCCATTTTTTTAACACACTTTGTGGCCTAGCCATAGTCCACAGCTTCCAACTTAAAGGGTAGGAAACCATATGAAAAGCTTTGCTAAAGTCAGAATTAAGGAAAGGCAGTGCTCTCCCTGCATCCAAAGACAGATTCTTCTCAGGCTTGTTGTGCCAGTCTTGCTGACCTTCATATTCTGAAGGTTAGGAATATTCTGTGGTTCCTTGGGTCCTTCTTTTTGTCTTGAAGAAGGGCATGGTGACTGCCTTTTTCCGGTCATCAGAGACCTCTGGCCTTATCTATATGCCAGTTTCACAGTGACATTACCCTGCATGACCCTCAAATATTCTTGGTCAGGTCCCAGCATGTATTTCATTTTTCCCAATTCATGTTTCACTTATGAAATGTGTATACATCCAGTATATGACATTACTGGAGTGTATTACCTAGAGAGTCTGTGAAATTTTCATCCTTGCAGCAGAGACCTTCAAATCTTGACTAGACAAACCTGTCAGCAAACTGATTTAACTTTGAGTTTGTCCCTGCTTTGAGCATATTGTTCTGAATAGGCATACATAAATAGATACTGGAACCCAAAATACTATGAAAATAACATGATAAATGTAAACTTTGTGTGTGCCACTCTCTCCCCACCCTTACATGTTGGTACAGGTGTATTATTCAGTTTTTATGAATCAGAGGATAATTTTTCCTTAGTTTGCCCTACTAACCTTTTGCCTCTGTTGTCAGTTGCTTTTTGTGGAAAGAAGTTTTCTGCTGCTTCACCCTTAATTTGACATGTGCTGCTCTGGCTTTAGTCTGAAATTTTCAATAACGGTTTTTCCTAAAAGTTTTTCTACTGTCTTCTTCCTACATTGTGTAATTTTCTTTGATGTCTACCTTGCAGATCACCCGTATTTTGTGGGAGTTCAGTTCCACCCAGAATTTTCCTCAAGACCAATGAAACCTTCACCTCCATACCTTGGACTGTTGCTAGCAGCAACTGGGACACTGAATGCATACCTGCAGCGTGGATGTAAACTGTCTCCAAGGTAATCTTTCTTTCTTGCTTGACTGCAGTTTGACAGTCACATTTTCAGAGGGACTATCCCATCCTTCAGTCCAGAAGCCCAGAAGAGGAAAAGCAGTTCCTCATGTATTGATTTATTTGTGACTGTGTGGGCCTGTCATACACCTGGGTGTAAAATAGCCTGTAAGCAGGAAGCACAGTTCCTCACTTCTTCCTTTTCAGAGCTATTAGGGCTTAAGCCAGAGCCCCACATTACAATCAGAAAAAAAGTTAAAAAACATTAATAAATTCAAATTAAGATAGCAGCCTCCTGTGTTAACTTCCATTGACAGTAGCTTCATAGGGAAAGAGATTTGCTAGAGGATCAAGCAATAAAGTGAAATTCCTACCTAGTTGTACTTGAATGATGACAACAACAACAACAAAGAAACACTGATTTTTACTTTGCAGTAGCTAAATAATAAATACTATCTTTCAGAGACAGGCCTGAAGTAAAACAGTTAGGATACTTTTAGACTTACAGAAGGATTTGGATCTAGGTCAGAACTGGATGGTCCAGCCAAAACTGTCCTTGGTCTTTTGGACACAGAGGCTTTGGTTTATTGAAGGTACCAATGGTTTTTTTAGCCAGGGTTAACTAATTCTTGTCTATTTCAATGATATTAATAACAGTAGAAATTTCAACATAATAGCAATAATAAAGAAATCAGAGAGAAGCCTTGGGCACAGTAACAAAAAATTTTAAAAAATCATAAAATTACTTAATAATAACATTGAACAGATCCAACTCTGGCATGTTGGCTTTTCCTCTCAACAAGACACCAAACTTATTAATTCTGAGGGTTGGGCTTTTTTTTTTTTTTTTCCTGAGTCTTGTATTCTGTTAAAATAAGGTCTGTTTGTTAGGAGAGAAATAGAAATTTTATTCAAGTTTGAGTAGTAACGGGAAAACAGCCAAGCCAGACCAGACCAATCTGTTTTGGTTCCTTACTCCTTTATGGGTATCAGTTTTTATTCACTCTGCCCAGCTGTGCAGTGACATACATACAAAGAGAATGAATTTCTGATCTGCAAACCACAGCTTGATTGAAACGCTCCTGTTACCTTAGCCTGTTATTGTTAGAAGCAGTCACAACGTTAGCTGCCTTTTAAAAGGTGTGCTGGTGCAATACACAGATCAAGTTTTTGTGGTGCTTGGCAAGGCAGAGTCTTCTAGCACAGTGATCTTCAGCCTTACTATCTTGGTGGGCACTCTGACTCACACTTTGTCTCACTTAACAGGCCCCATAACCCTATTTATTTCTCTGAGATAAAGAAAAATTCCTGTTTTTAATGAGTGATCTGTATGCATCCTGCTAATTTACATCCCTTAGCATTATAACAAGTATTCTATCTAACCCTGACCTATAGCTTCAGCCATTACTGAATTTGCCCCACTTGAATTAATTTGATTAATTTACTTAAATTAATCATTCAAAATGTATACCCAACTCTTCTTCTTCATAGTCATAAACTCCTACCAAATCCCAAACATTTAGCAAAGACAAAAATCCGCACTCCAAAACTTAATCTATAAAATTGCAGATTTTGCTATTTACTTAGTTACACAGCAATCAAGCAATACCCTGTGTCTTGAGAAAGATCACTGGAATAGGAAGGCATTTTGAGGCTAAAAGAGGAAGATTTTATACAGAAGAATGTTCAGGAGAGAATTGCAGTGTTAGTTACAGCACACACACTCATATTAACATACCCACCTGCTGGGTGGAAAGCTTTGCAGTGTAAACCTTTAAACCCCAGAATGTGGTGATTTCATTGAGTTGTGAAGCTAAGGCATGTCCAAGCAAGGCTGAAAGAAATCTGAGGAGAGGATTTTCTGCACACCTCATCCAGCACCACCCACGTGAGTTTTAGTCATGCTGTGGACTAGAGCAAAGTAAGCTGTGAGAGAATTTCTGGAGACCAGCAAGCTGAACAGATTACCTATGCAAGGCTACCATAAACACTAAAAAGAGAGTGAACGATCTAGTCCTGAGACAAAAGGAAATATGTATTTCAGCATGAGAGTCTTAACAGGAAACTATTACCCCAGAACATTTAATAGCCCCATAATTAGGGTGTAATTTTAGAATATTTGACACCTGGACAGAAGCCCTAGCTCATAAGCAAAGCTACTAATAACTTCAAGCATGCATTACAACTTCTGGGAGAGTGCCCTAAATAAATGAAAGTGAGTAAACTGTCTCTTAAATTTTTGTGAGGCCTAGTCTGGTACAGACATAGGCTCACATAGGCATGAGCATACCTAGATTAAGGCTGGAATGCATCCTCTGGGAGGAATTTAGTTCCTAGAAACATCAGTGTTTACACCAAGAGACAGTCAAGAACTGACCAAAGGATCAGAGTAACTCAGTGATTAATTGTTCCTTATTTACCTGAAGTACTAATTGGGCACCAAGTTGCCTTTGTGGTTTCAGCTTCTTGTGCTTTATGTGCACGAGTGCCCAACCATCAAAGCCTTACACTTCATTTCCTTGTGAATGGTTTTAGATCATGGCCTTTTCCAAACCTTTCCATGGAAATCCTGAAGTCACCATTTCATACAGAAGTGAGAAATATGGTGGGAGGCTGCCAGTTTACATTTTCAAGGACAAAGAAAACCAAAGCCACATGAGACTCAAAGTGTACAATACCCACAAATATACTGCTTTAAAAGAGAAAACAAAGGGTTTTGATAGGAAACAAGTGGATGAAGAGGGGAATTTCACATGTAGTGTTCTTGGCTTTTACTGAGACTTATGTAGTTTAATTTGAAAAATTTAATAAAAACTGACTTGTCTTTGAGAACAGCATAATACGGGTTGCAAAATCACTGGTGTACAATAAAGCCATGTTGCTTGTTTTGTTTTGGTTTGGTTTTTTCCCCTTATCCAGTTTAACATCAGCAGGCTTTATTTCTTTTTTGTCTACAACCAGCACCTTTATTAGTGGCCTGCAAGAGTAAGCCTGAGTGCATTAATTATATTTGAAAATAATGTCATTTGAATAAAAGCTGAAAGCGCTTTCAGAACAAAGAAGTAACAAAAAATATGTAGAGAATTTAGTAATCTCTGCTGCATATAATGACATCTTTGGAGGAAGAAGATAAGAAGCTAAAGATAAATAATTTAAACACAAATATCCAGTATAAGAGAGGAAATGTAGAAAATGAGAGGTGTTCCTAGGTGAGTAAGCATAGGCAACACTGACTAAGAAAAAAAAACCTTTGCAAAGCATTAGTGAATGTGCTAATGTGAAGCACCAATCCAATACCATCTAGTCACAGAGTACTCTTTGGAGTTCTGAGAAAAATTTTAATGCAAGATGACATATGAGCTGTGTTCAGAGACAAGGAACAAAAGAGGCCAGAGAAGAGAAGGAATGGTGCATTAAATAAAACACCAAAAAACCTCAGGAAATTTGCCCATATGGTGCTTACTGCATTAGCGTGGTCCAGCTATCTCTCAGATCAGCTGTGGAGGAAAGCACCTATGAATAGAACAGCAAACAGCCTGTGTGACACATTCTGGTGCCTGATGTCCCCTGTACGTTGTCCCCAGTCTAGAACACATTTGGCACAGCATCATGCTTCTGCCATTGGCCAAATCCAGACATGTGATTTGATGGAAATCTGATTTGAAGATTGTCAGGAGAGCAACAAGAGAGGGGCTGCTCCATGAAAGATGGCACTCCAGGAGCCAGGGGTGGGAGCTGTCCTGGTGGGGATGGTGTCCTCAGTACCGCACAGAAGGCAAGTGCTCTGGCTCCAGTGACCTTCCAGTGGTGCAGGTCCCAGCTGGGGATGGTTGGGACAGCAAAGGCCCTGTTACCCTCAGAGCTCTTACAGAAAACTACAGAAAAGTTTTAAAGGAGATCCTTTCTAAACCATACTGGCACTTAGTAATGGCTAGTTATGTCAGTTAACTTTGCAATTGAAATGTTAGATGTTTACAGTAAAAGCCCTTCTGAGCTAGTGACCTCAAGCCTTTTTCTGCAGTTGTTAAGTGAAAGTGCACTTTAAGGAACCAAGTAGCTCGTTATAACTGTTTTGTGGGTCAGTTATGCATTACACACTGCCCGAGCCTTTTTCTCTCCAGTGATTGTAGGGAGCTGCTGGTGCCTGTCCCAGATGAAGATATTATCCTAGGTCCAGTCATGTGAGGGCAGGCAGTTCACAGGTCAGAATTGGGGAGTTTTGGGTTTGTGCTGAGGGATTCCCAAATGAAATGATGTTTTATGGAAGCATAGGGTTGTATCATGATGACCATAATTTTAAATGAGAGATAAAATTTTTATGACTACAAATTATATCTATGATTTTTATGACTATGTAATGATCATAAAAATATGTACCAAGAATATGGGTGACTGCAATTATAACCATTGCACAATCAAATATGCATTTATTAAAAATAATGTTTTGATGACATAATTTTAACAATTCAGCTTTTTGGGGAAATAAATTATAATAATTTGCAGATGTCCTTTTGCTGAGTCCTCAGAAGTTAAACAACTTAAACAACTGCAGCCTGTATTAAATTTATCTGTACTTCATGTATCTTTAATTTGCACTGAGGAAGAAGTGCACTTAGCTTGGCTCCTTACAGGACATAGCATTACTGTAGTAATTGTTTTAATGTTATGTTTCTGGAAAAGGAATTTTTTGTCAATTGTACATTAAAAATGAATGAAAGAAAAGCTTCCCTGATACTGCCAAATACTTTATTTCTAAAGAATATTGATCTGGTTTTTCCAAGTGAAAAACAGAAAGTTCACTAAGTACTTTTACAGAAGCCAAGTGACCAATATTCTTCATCATAATGACTACAATGACTAACTAGATCCAGTGACACTGCATTGAGTTTTGTTATGGTTTTTTCCTTGGCCGCCAGTTTATTCTTGAGGTCCCACAAATACAAACAAACAAACAAAAACCTCTTGGGGTTAGGTCTTAGAACTGGTGGCCTCAGATATGCTCAGTAGCTCCTTTTTGTTGGAGTCCACTGTTGTAAGAATTGTTACAAATAAGATGAAGTGGGTGTCAGGCTCCTGCACAAGAGAATTACTAATTAATTTGAACACAAACTAAGAAAAAACCTGCTGAAGCAAATGTAAGCATATTTTTTCAGTGGCTGGCTCAGTGTGAAAAATAATTTCATTAAGGAAACCTGGGCTTATTTGATTTCTTATCATCACCACTTTCACAGACAGCAGATTTTAGTGAGGTTACTTAATATTACCAGCTGTGAGCATGAAGCATCCATTTGGGTTTTGTGTTTAGTATCTATGTACAACTCATTGTAATTTGGAACAAAGTACACATTTATTCCAAAGAGAAAAGATGGCTTGCTTCTGGTTAATGCCACCTACAGTTTTCCTTCAGATTACACATGATACTAATATGTTTGACATCAGAGTAAATCTTAGAAACCTGACACCAGTGCTGCTTTGAAGCAGTTACACACAGGTGTAGATATGCCAAGTTTCACGAGTCCCTGTTTACTTTCAAGAAGTCCACTGGCAGCCTAACTCTTGAAGTTCAGGTTTCCTTGGGGCCCAAGTAGTTATGTTTAAGATGATGCCACAGGTTCTGGGTGTGCTTAGAGAAATCAAGCAGCTGAAACTGAGACTGACAACCACCTGAGTCTGAAGCCCAAGGGCTGATCCTTACCTGGGTATTTCCCCTACGTTTCTTGCCTTGTGGCCTGCTTGTGAGACATAAAACTGACTTACACTCCATAGAGCAGCCCTAAAGTAGGGGAGACTGAGATGCTACTGCAGAAGTCAAGAATGTGATGATGACAGCTCTTCTCTGGGATTTGGTGTCAAATCTTGTACTGAAATTGGGCAGCATGGGAACAGGAACAAAATTGTCATTAGCTGAGTTAAGTGTTTTAGCCTTTGCACTAGTGGCCAAATGAGCCTCAGCTTCAGCAAACTGCAGACAAGCTTAAGAAGTTTGGGTGGTAAGTCAGTGAAATCACAGAAGCATCCAGGCTGTCTGACTACTTCTGTAGGCAAATCCCTCTAAAGCCTGTGTCACTGAGTGGGGGAGGACCTATGAGGAGAGTGCTGGGGGGGGAATCAGCATCTTACTGCCTCCAAGAGATGAACCTGGGCAGTTGTCAACTCACCCCACTGGTTGGTGAGCACTTCTACTTAAGCATTTGACTCCCATACTGTGTTGTTTACAGAACTCTGGCATGTTTTTGGGCTGGGATTGCCACTGGACAGCAGATCTACTTAAAAAAAAATAAGTTCTCTGAAGACTTTGGACTTAAATCATGCTGTCATAAGATTATGCAGTTCTCTACAATCAGTTTCACTCTCTGTTCTATGGACAATATTTGCTATTTTGCTGTGATGTGAAAATGCAAAACTGTTTTAATAATACTGAATTTTTGTTCCATGTTTCCATGGGTACTTTCAGAAAAAAGTAAGTACAATGTTGGTGATGTTGTGTTTGTCTGTGTGCATCTGGCATGCTTGATCAAGCTGTTAACAACACTTTCCTCACTTGAACTGTGTAATTGATCACCAGCTGATGAAATGATCAAATGGAGCATTTCACACTAGCCTGATAAGACACGCCCTTTATAAGAAGCACATCAGCAGTGTGTGTGTCATGCTGAAGAGGGCAGAATGCTTAATGTTAGGACAGACAGAATATCCATACCATTTTACACAAATTTGGTACAGTGATTCGCTGTAACTGTGGGGAACTTTCCTAACAGAGGTAGGAAATGGTGCCATTCCTCCTGTCCCACTCTGTTTAAATGTCTGGGGTTTTTTTACTTATTCTTCGGTTTTCCTTTTCCCTCAAAGAAGAGAGGATGAAATTCAGGTTACAAAGCAGCAGAGTAGCTGAGTGCAGTTGGTTCACTGTTCCACAGGGCAGACTCATCAAAGACCTCCAGCTGCGGGGCTGCAGGGCTCCCTTGGAGCAGCACCCAGCAGGCAGTCACTGATAAGGCTCTGTCTGGGTGGGCCATGTGCTTGATGTCTCAGTAGGAGATCATGCCCAGAGATGGGGAACACGACATGAGAGGGGTCCTATTGTCTGGAGGATGAAGGGGTGTGTGGTGAAGGGGAGATGTGACAGGACAGCTGCGCAGTCAGCGCCTGGCATAGAGCTGGCAGCCAAGGCTGTCATCATGGTCCCACACAAATGAGGTCTGAGGTCCCCACTGTACTGTGCTAAACGTGGCCTGTGCTCTGAAGGGTCACAGGACTGACCAGAATTACTGCTGCTCAAATGTACTTACCTGTTCCCTGGTTTGCCTTTGTTGGCTTCTCATCTGGGGAAATTAAAATATCTGGAAAACAGACTGTAGAAGTGAAGTATAGTAGGAAAGGGTTGAGGCTGGAGGCACTTCTGAAGCACACTTAAATTTAAGATAAACTTTTGAGACCCAGTAGACATCACACTGACTGAAAATATGGTTTGTGGGCACTTCATTCTCTCAGTCACTGTGGTGATTCCTGTTCACTGTTTCCTTGTTCTTACTACTCATAAAACAATCACTTGCATGGCAGTTGGGTCTCTGAAAACCAGTCTGCGTCTCTCAGGATACAACAGAAGGGGATAAAACCTCTAGAAAAACTGTCAGGATATTGCTTGGTGCAATGAACATTATTTGTGTTCTAACTAAAAGAGCAAGAACTGTAATTCAGATGTAGACTTGTGAGCTAATAAAGTTGTCTTAACTTTTTTTTTTTTTTTTTTTTTTGTGTTAAAACAATGATCTTCTTTACCATAAGGGAGAAATTCCTTTTATTTTAGCTCTGAATACCTGTTATTATCTATCTTGTTAACCATGATCATAGACACGCAGCACCAGCAAAATGCAGAATGAATGTACAGGAGTCAAGCAAAAATAAATCAAACATACTATATATCAGGTAGAGCATTATTTCACATCAGGTCTTAAACTCCAAACTTCAGCCCATTCCTTTAGAGGAAGGTTTCTAAAATGCCATGTTTTTAGCTTGAGCCTAAAGAAGTTTTCTGGAAATGGGTTGCATTTGAGGAAATTGTTGATCATATGCATCATGGGTTGGAGGGCTTGAAAAAAATACTTGGTTTAGATCTTTCTGAATTCTTATTGGTTCCAACAGTGACAGCTACAGTGACCTAAGTGATGACAGCTCTCCAGAGAAAGAGTTTCCTTATTCTGACACAAGCTGAAATGATTATATGAGAGCACAGAAATGGATGATGCTGTTGAGGTAAACTGAAATGTTTTGATACTGCTTTATGACACTGATTTATTCTAGATTTGAAACAGGAGATAAAGTTAACTTAATTTTCACATTTCTTTCAAGTCCACTCTGAGATCTTATGTCTTCTTTTTTGTCTGTAGCATTTAATTGTTTTCCTCTTCTGCTGCTTGACTCTGAAATTGAGATGTTAAAATCTGATAAGTATTTTGGGTACGTCTTTTATGTAGGATGCTGTACAAAATCAAGTTGTGTTAGTGTTTGAAGTTAGATTAAAAATAATTCTTTAAATTGTACTTTATTTTTTTTTTGTCTTCAGTTTACAATTTGGAATAACTTCAACTACATTGTGTAGACATTACTTTTTATTTTGCCTTAATATTCATCTGTAATTGCATCTGATGTATTGATATGACGAAGACATCCCAACATAAATACTTGTATTTGATCTGCAGAGTGATAGAGATACAAACAGGTTTTATAAAATTATAGCTTTGTCATAGGCTTTGCCAGAGTGATGTTGGATTGATTGTTTATTCACCTGTAAACATGGTAGTAATAGATTTCCTTTTAGTTTGGAAGTTGTATTTCCTGTGAGACACTTGATCTCTGCAGGATCTGGGCTTGAAACTTGGTCCTACTTTATTTTTCCTATGCCGATTCATCAGAGCTGGGGCTGGTATGACACTCTCATTCAGCTTCTTGGTATTTCTAAGCACTTCTGTAAGGAGGGCACAACTTTCCCCTCTGATTATGTCTCACATGGTGTTGACAGTAAGCAGCTGTGCCAAGCAGACAATTAAGGCTACATAAAACCAGCATTTCTGCCTGATGGTCTCCTGATTCAAGTAATGGCAGGAGATACTAGAAATTGGAGTTCAGTCCTTAGATACATGGGTTTCTTCTGTGATTTTCAATTGAATTATTTTTTGCTCTCCTGTACTACATGTTAAAGATAATGATCCATCCCCAAATCAGGAGAGCAAAGAACAGAATGTTAAGAAATTTAATGACCTGGTACATGTACATACAGTACTGATGCCTTAAAATAGCCAAAAAATAAGTAGACAAGATGTTCCTTTTCACTCTTGCCTAGATCCTTTCCACCTCCAAACATCACAATGGTTCTGTTTCTTGAGACCAACATAAGGGAGAAGCCCTTGCTTTCCTCAATAGAATTTATGAATGGTAGTTCTCTGTTTACTGTTGCAGCATGACTTGTTCAGTGCTTGGACAAATGCACTTTTGACATGCTTTTAAATGGCTATCAGTAGCCAAGCTGATTTTGTCTGAACGTGTCACAAATGGATAACAACTGTTATTCAACAGAATTACTCTGGAAAAGATTAAATAACTAAATCCAGATATCAAAGAATGAGAAAAGTGTTGGCTTGTTTTTTAATCTCATGTTTAATTCTACCTGTTAATCAGAGTTGGATATGCCTGTAGATTATATTTGGCTTTGTGGTTTCACTTTAGATAAAATACATCTACTCATAGAATTTACATAGGACTATTTTGAAATGAGTCAACAATTTGAGTGAAAATTACATAAGCATGAAATAAACTGAGTTTAAGATTAAATATTTTTAATAATTGATATTTTTACATTTATTCTTCTTTCCTCTCCCTCTTTTTGTGTTACAGAAACTTGGGAACAGGACAATATTGAATAGAAGAAAGTAGAAGAGTAAGCTGCTTGCAGTTCTCATACTGTCTCTTCTCTACTATGTTCAATAATTCTCATTAGAGATGACAGTTTCACTATTCTGTAGCAAAAATTGTTCTGTGTAAATACTGTTTCAAAAGTTACCAAACGATTCTGCACCTTAGCTGTTAATCATTATTATCTTGTCATATATTTCAGAGTGATCTCAGGTGAATATGTATCAGTTCACTAGTTCACAGCTTTCTTGATTTGAAGGAAGATTTGACTGGTTTCAGTTTGCCTTGGAATAGGAAGAAAAAATGCATTAGTTCTTGGGAATGAGGTGGGGCATGCACTAAAGCATTTAAGAGAAAATTGTCTTTCTCTTGAGCAGTAGAAAACCATTTCAGGTTTTTTTCCTATTAAGCTTGTATATATATTTTTATTAATTTTTTTGCTGTTCAATATGTACAAATGAAAAATGGTTGCTGTATCTCAGCTCTATGTGATTATAGTAATTAATGTTGGATACAAGTTTTTTCACTTTGCTTTTATAAGCAGTTTGATTTCACATAAATTCATTTGCTGTATTTCTCCTGGAAGACTGATAATGCTGAACATAATTCTAACCTACAAAATTACAAAGTGATATTAGAAGGTGGTTTCATATTTGTGTTTTGTAAGAGAGAAAGTAAATACGTTCATATATTAAACTCCAGTTTTAACACTTTTTTGAAAGTTGTAGAAAACCCAGTCATAAACCTGGGGTGTTATCTGGGCTCCAGCTGTGCCACACTCAGTTAGTTGCAGTAAATAAGTGTGAAGCAAATTAAGTAAGGTTCACCCTTGTCTTCCTGCATCCTGTGACCACTCCATCATCATGGCACTTATTCCCGAATAGAATGAATGTTTTAATTTAGAAATCACAAGTTGTTCCACTGCATCACAACTCAGGCAGCCCTGCAAAGCCAGGGCTGGAGCTTGAACCACTGAGACAGAAAAGGAAGGTGAGAGGTGCTGCTCTGGGTGTAGGGCAGCATTAAGGTGTAAGGGGTGTAAGGATCCTGTTAGCAGTGGGGCATCACCAAACCTGTCACAGAAGGTGAACCTGAGCTATGTAACTGAGGGGCTCCAAATGCTTGGGGCACACTTTCTTATAAAGAAAAATGCTGAATTTTGAGAGTTTGGTTTCATTTTGGTTTTGGGTAAAGTGTTTTCTTTAATTCATCAAAAGTCAATATCCATGCCAAAATAAGAAGCACCATGTTCCTTATTACAGCTTTGTAAAACAGCAAGTTTGAGAGCTGTGCATTGCTCAAGAAAATCTCAGGTTACACAGCAAATTTGTCTTTTCACTAAAAGAAGCTTTAATGGTAATGAAACATAAAATGTATTTTTATGGCCACACTTTCCTAAAGTAGTTTGTGAATATGTGCCTTAGAAACACTGACAGCAGAATTGGTGCCACTGTATGTCTTCCCAATGAGAGACAGTGGCCACTACTTTGTGAAAAGTGAAGAATTTCCTAAGATTGTCTGTAATGTGCAAATGTATTTTCAAAACATTTTCAATAAATTGTGTTATTTGGAAGTGTTTGGGTACCTGCTAAAGAATCATGGTACCAATTGTGAACTGTGGTGTTAAAGAAAGAATTCATCATTTACATGAAGCTGCACTTGTTTGTGAAGAAGGGGAGCAGCATCCAAGTTTGGATGGGACTGCAGGGTAGGTATTGCCCTTGACTGATTCTGTGGACAGAGCTGTATCTTACTGAGTGTCTCCAGTCTGGTATTGCATCTCAGCAGTGTGGGTTCCTGTTTCACTGTCAGCTTTACAGGTGAGCTCCTTTAGCATCTGCCTAACGTGCTTAACATGTACTACCCCGAAGCTGAGGTTGCTTCCCCTTATTTAACTGCTTGGAGACATAACCTGCATGTGCTAGTGTGTCACATCTGCAGAGCTTGGATCTAAGGAAGAGGATTTGCTTGACCAAACAGACTATTCCTCATCAGGCAATTCTCGTGGGAGGGAGGGCCAGATGCTGCGTTAGGTTGCAGTTTTTCTGAAGCAATATTAATATCAAACAGAGTGTGACTGTTGATTCAGAGTAGTACCAAAAAAGGCTTACTGTGACCTGAGATTCATGGGACTGGCATACTTCTCCGGAATTCCTGTAGAAGCATCTAAGCCCCGGCTTTCCAGGAAGACACTGGAAGTGTTGAGCAATACCTTAAAAGCAGAGGTTGAGTTCTCTGCAAGAACCTGTGTAAGCAGGAATTGCAGCCCAAAGCTAAAGGAAGTTTTCAGGAAAAAAAGAGACAGATTGTCAACAATTGTAAGGGCAGGCTCTTGCTGCCCAAAAATCATGTGGAGGATGATAAAGGAGAGTCAAGTATAAGAGCAACAAATGACTTACCAACCTGGGCTAACCTCCACAGGAGAGCTGTGTTACAGCTGCCATGGCAATGCAAATGAAAGTTTCTCCCCAGACTCTGTGTGTAGCAATGCAGTAGGGAGTGTGATTCAGCCTAGAGGACTTGTGAGCTGGCACCAAAGCCAGATCAGCACAAGTGAACGAGCTGTGGAAACCTATGTGGGACTGGCTGAAGCTCATTTCCCACAACTTTGCTGTCTGCATATGTGAGGTGACCAAAATCTGCTGAGAAAGGGAGTGAGATGGAGCAAGGGGCAATCAGGAAAACATTGCCCTTGGGAGAACATGTGGCCTCTTCCAGCATGCTGCAGAAACTCACTGAGCTTGACAGGGAAGTAAACAAATGATACAGTTGTTTCTGTACCTAGGACTGAATAACACCTCAGCCTTGCACACAAGTAGAAGGAGTCTTCTTCCCTGAGATACCTGCTTGGGAGTTGTGGTGTATTTCTGTGCCTCAGCATTTTATCCCATACTGTGCTTAGTTTTTCCCTGATAGCAAAGTGAATTGGTAGCTGTTAGCTCTGAGATAACTTCCAGACAACCTCTTTCTCTTATCACTTCACCCTGTCCCCACTGTTGACATGGTTGGTACTTTGTTCAGGGATTCTGACATTTTCTCAGGTGGCAGCCTTTGTATTTTTGATGGCAATGAACTTAGTATCTCAGATATTTCTCCCTTTATTGGGCACTATCTAGATTTTTCAGGTATTCAGTTGTGTCTGAATTGGTAGCTGGCATGTGCTAACAAGGTGAAATGAATTGAGAGCTCATCTAAAATAATTACATGAAAAGAGTCTGCATATGTTCTACTATGCAGCAGGCTCATTTTGTAGGGCTCCCCTAAAATGGCTCAGAATATTTACATCTATTAGATGTCCAAAGAAAATGTCTGTGTTGCCTCAGTTGGAAATTCCTTCTGAATAGCAATTCCAGAAATGCTGATTTTCCAGTCTCTGGTTGATTGTCTTGATTTTAGCTGTAAACAATAACTTCTTTTTTTTTTTTTTTTTTTTTTTTTTTTTTTTTGTGAATTAACTTTTCATGGAACATAGAAGTGGACCAGTTCTATTGTTCTTTATTCGTATAAAAGTAAGTAATTTTGAGTACTGTCTGGTTTCTTGCTCTCTAAAATACCTCATGGATTGCAGGATTTAACATCCTGCTGTGACCTAGCTGACCTACTGCTGGAATAAAGTCTATTAAAATGTCTTTCATCTTGTAAAAATTGTGTACTTTAATCTTTAGACTTTGATGATTTGTTTGTATATGGAATATTTTCCCTGCTTGTAACATCCTAATTCATTTGAAGAAATTGGTTGCCTTATTGGACTCCTGGTAACATGCTCTCACAAATTTGGATCAGAGCCTAGAAAACCAGTTTTTCCTGAAGTGTGGACGACATTGTGTGTTTCAGGAATGCTCCTGGAAATGTAAGGCTATCTTTTATACATCTATGGACCCTCAGTTAATAATTTAAGAAACTTAAAAGTTGGGAGATGCTAGTGAAGCTCACAGTAGCATGGTTTGGATAACTTAAGGACCAAGCCAAGTCCTGGATTAAAGCATAATCCAAGACTCCATATATTTAAATGAATAGTTAGGATAGTCTGCTCTGAGTTTCTGCATAACATATCCTCATCCAATAGCAGCTTCAATAATCTGTCATTTCACAGAGTCAATCTGAGCAATAAAAATATGACCTCAGGTCTTTTTGTTTGAATACTGCTTGTACTACCTTTGGAACATGATCCTCATTGCCTAAGAATAGATTTGCAGTTTGGAGAAATAGTGCAGATTTGGAGCAAACCTTCTTACTACAAGTGATTGATTTCTCACAGCAGCTGTTGTGCACCAGGCCTCAGATCCTTTTCAGGAAATAAAATGCGAAGATTCATTCTAAAACCTGGTGTAATTCAGTTCTGGACCCAACCAGGAAAGAACACTGCCACAGAATGCCTCTTTATGAGTGTTGTATTCACCTTCCTATCAGCCTTTTTGTTGTTGTTGTGAGGGGTTTGATTCTATTCCTGATCGGTCCTGATAGGTGTAGCTGCTGAACTGGGAATCAGTCATTACCATCTACTCATTGTTACTAATCAGCCAGATGTATCTGGCTCCCTGGTTTTGGGGGCTCAGTTGAGCAGTCTCACCCCTGGACAGCCTGAACATCCCCAGAATACAAAATTCATTCTTCTCTTGGGCCTCAAACCCATTTTTGTGTTAGTCAAACCCTTTCTTGTTGAAGCCCAGCCAGGGACCTGTCCCTGTGTGTCATGTGGGTGCTTGGGTAAACACCTCTGACTGCCCCTGCTGGGACCAGCTCCGCACAAGACGCAGCAGCAGCAGAATCTGTCATCATGTAGTGCTTCACTCACTGGAAAAATAACAAACAGTTTCCCAGGGCACTTCCAGGATGTAGGAGACCTGACCAGTTTCCTCCTGAGTTTCTGAAGCAGCCAGGCCCCCTCTCCTCTGGGGGCTGCCCACTCCTCCAGGTTAAAGTACCAATGTTCATGGCTCTCCTAATATTAGGGCCATCTGCCAAAATCCCCACTGGTCCTGTGTTGGAAAAACAGCAAGGAAATGATTCTGCAGCTGAGGCAACAAGAGGTTCCTTGAGAGGGAGGGAGGGAGAGTGACGCTGTTGAGTCAGGGACAGGAGGAAAAGACTCCAAGTCCTAGAAGGTGAAAAAGAGAGTTTATTATTAAGAAGTAGCATCCTTGCTAAGGTGAGACCTCATTGGTCTCAAAGTAAAGACCTTTCACACTATTGGTGAACTATGAATAGCACACTGTGATAGAGCATATCTATAAACATGAACATGAACAGAAAGAGAGATAATAATTGTTTAAATTCTTTCTCTCTAAGTTTCCCAGGCCTGAAGCCTTGGAGAATTCTCTGCTCTCTTTGGCTGAACTGAGAGCCTCCACAGGAGAGCACCTGAGCCCATGTCTTTAGACTGTGTATGAATTTTAAACACATACTGAACAAAAGACCGAAACTGTAATTGGAAAAGCAGCCAGAGCACAGGACTCCCATTTTTTAAACCAGTGCCATAAAAAAGAGACTTTCTGGTTTTGGGCAGGTAAGTCTTGATCCCTTTTCTCTGGGATGGCACAGATGGACAGAAAGGAGTGACAGCACCTCCCCTCTTTTTTCTCTCCTCTGGATGGAAGTTGCTGCATCATTGCTTCGTCCATCCACTTATTGTCCCTGCTGCCTTGTAAGAGCCTGTTCCAGTCTGTGCTTCTGCTAGCCACAGCCTCAGGAACTAGCTTATTATCTTTTCCTCTGCTGGATATGCTACTCATCATCTGTCCTACCCAGGATTTTAATTTATTTTCTCCCAAAAAGGGATAGAAGGAAGCCTGTACCCATAAAAGTAAACTGTTCTCAGCACAGTTCCAATGCCTGGAGGAGCTTGAACTTTTCTTATAATATGCCTTGGTTGAGGCACAATATGCCTTGGTTGAGGTTTGCTACTCACATAACTAAGTGAATTAGGGATGAGACTATAAATGTAATGATCTGCTCTTTACTCAGGGTAATGCAGCTCTGACTTTGCTGGGGAACAGAGACATGATTGCTTGTTAATTTGTGAAGTGTGTAGAAGAACTCCTGGGATTGTTTTATTTGAGACTTTTGACAGAAAGCTTACTAGGGTGGTTCAGAGAAATCACACAAAGGTCATGCTTGTGTGCTTTTTATATTATTGCAGTGCTGCAAATGTAGAAGTTCAACCAAGATCATAGCTTAAAATATGAATGTATAAAGTAAAAATCTAGGTAAAAATTAAAATGTGCCAGTGGCAGTCCTCTGAAACGGCTTTTTCCAAGATGATTTGTTCAACATCTGTTTGGTCGTGTCATTGTGTGAGAAGAACATGTGAGTGTAAAAAAGATGAAAGATCCTTACGCAGTCTGTTTGTTCTGTTCTTTAACAAGTAAGGAGCCTTAATTTACAAGGCTGCTAATTTATGTTATTTTTGTTTCTATTGTACAGGCTTAAAAAATTCTGGTAATATTTGCTGTAGTGTTCAGGAACATAAACTTGATAAAAGAATGAGTGTCTGCTGCTGTCTGAACTAATACCCTCTGCTTTGCTTTGCACATGGATTAGCACTTTGACTGTGAAGTTAGAGGAGAAGCAAACTTGGTGGCAGATGTAACTGTTTTCATGAAATTAAATACTTATTTAGAAGTGTTTTGACAAGCTTTTGGGTCATCTGAAGGAGAGTTTGTGTACTTGAAATTTAGTTTGTTTTTCCCAATAGTATATCTTGATCTAATAAAAACACTACTTCACCCCAAAAATCCATATCCCTCAGCAGAGCCTTCCTATACTCCAGCAGGTCAGCACTCCCTCCTGCACTGCTTGGTGTCATCTACAAACTGACTGAGGGTGCGCTTGATTTCCTCATTTAGATCATTGATAAGGGTATTAAATAGGACAAATAACGAGCCTTGAGGGGTCCCACTGGTGGCCATCTACCAGTGGGGATTTTTCTCCATTCACCACCACTCCTGGGCCCAGCCACCAGCCAGTTCTTACCCCAGTGAGGAGGCCACCACAGGCTGCCAGCTTCTCCAGAAAAATGCTGTGAGAGATGCAGCAAAGGGTTTGCTGAGCTCCAGGCAGACATAGCCTTCCCCTCACCCACCAGGCAGGTCACCCTGTCGTAAGAGGAGGTCAGGCTGGCCGAGCAGGACTTGCCTTTCCTTCATGCTGGCGGTGCTGGCTGGGCCTGATCCCCTGGCTGAGCTGTGTGTGCCACATGCTGGCACTCCATGGCCTTTCCTAGCACTGAGGACAGGCTGACAGACCTGTCGTTCCCCAGATCCCATCTGTCCCCAGAGACCTGTGAGCATCTAAGTGGCACAGCAGGTCACTGACTACGTCCTCTGGATTGCAGGGTGTCTCTTCTGCTCCCCGTCCTTGTCTACCAGCTCACAGGGCCAGTTGCCCAGAGGATAACCTGTCTTCCTGTTGAACACTGGGACAAAGAAGGCATTTCCCAGCCTTTCCATCTCAGTCCTTTTCTCACCCTTGGTTACAATATTTGCCTCCACATCTAACAAAACATGCAGATTTTCCTTAGCCCTCCTTTTGTTGTTAATGCATTTATAAAACCATTTTTTTATTATCTTTCACAGCAGTGGCCAGATTGAGTTCTAGCTGAGCTTTTGCCTTTCTAATTCTCTCTCTACATGACCTAATGACATCCTTGTACTCTTCCTGAATTGCCTGCCCCTTCTTCCAAATACCTTAAACTCTCTTTTTTTTCCCCTGAGCTCAGGGAAAGCTTCCTGTTTAGCCTGACTGGTTTTCCTCACTGGCTTATTTTTTGGCACATAGGGATGAGCTGCTCCCGTGCCATCAAGATTTCCTTATTTAAAGTATGTCCTGCCTTCATGGACCCCTAGGGGCTATTTTCCACGGGACTCTCTGAGCCAGTGTCCCGAACAGCCCAAAGTCTACCCTTCAGAAATCCAAGGCAGAGGTTTTGTTCCCATTCCTTACTTCCAGCTTCAGGTGCCCAAAGGCAACACTTGGCCTTCTCCCTTCAGCTAAGCTAACAATGGTGGGAAAAATTTATGCTACAGTGGCATTAAGGACTTAATTGCTTTAAAGGCAAATTACCACAAAGGACCTTCTACTGCCAACTTACAATGAAAGATTTGTGTATTACGGTGAATCTGTAACACAGGACTGGGGTGCTGCTACAGAATAACCATTTGAGTTGCCTAAATTAATAATTATTTAATAATGCATACATTTATTAAGAATTGAATTCCAGAACATAGCCCAGAATTTACCCTCCCCATCTGAGATGAAATACCACTGTTTGCTTCCTAGTTTTAATTTCTTCTACTAAATAAAAAAGTCGTATTGCAAGTGTGATGTGTAAAGAATGATGTGTGCTGGTCATATTCTTTGTAGGGCAATTTCTTATTAGGGGGAACCAGGAACATTTTTGCTTTCACACAGTCTGGTTGCCCTTAGTACCAGCTGGGGATTTTGCTATTTATTTGTAGGAGAATCCAGTCTGAAAGTAAAATATGTGATTCTCCTCTTTTATATGCTGTTTTCTTTAGTCATCTAGAAACGGGCAATGTAATGACACATTCTTCTGAATTTCCATTTGATTTCAGTCACTGCCTCTAAGCAACATATTTTGGCTTTAGTTTATTTCCCACGGCCAAGGAGA